AAAACTGGAAATATCGAGAGTTATGAAAGATATAATCATAGAATTCAGAGAAGATATGGACCCGGTCACACGGTTAGACAAAAAGAAACCATTTGTAAAGATTGTGAAGTTGGCCTGAAGGTTTTTTTGATTCACGGGGGGGGGGGGTGGGTTTGAGCTATCACACTAGGAATATNNCCCCCGGGTGGGTAGCGGGTAGCCCGCTTCTTCACCCGCCCAAATGAAAACCCTACTGTATATTTAATTCGATACACGATTTTCCTTAAAAATGTCTGTACCTGTTCTTTCACTACCAAACCGTAACTTTTACGGTGAAATATCTTTTCTAAGCTTCACAGCTCTGAATTTCTCAAAATTGTTCCAGGGGACAACATGGGAAGAAAGGTAGCAAAGAAGAAGAAGAAGGCGTTGAGCGCCGAAGAGGTGGAATTGAAGAGACTGGAAACGAAACGGAAACGACATGAGAAGTATTTGCGAATGAAGGAAAAACAAGCAATAGAGGTAGTCCTGAAAAGCCCTAAAAGTCCAAAATTAGGTCTCAAAAATTTTTATTGTTTCAGAATCCCAACAAGGAGCCAAAGAAGATCGGAAGGCCAAGAAGTCCGAAAGCGAAGAAATTACCACGTGTCAAGGTGAGGAAGCATCTAGAAACCAAGGCTGTGGGTAACTGGGCCGCGGTCGGCGGTGGCCCGAGCCGGCGGAAGCTTGCCGTCCACCAAACCAGCCGTTAGGCAGCCAAGCCCTACCTATCTCAGTTAATAGCCGCGGTCCTGTTTCTTCCAGCGTGTCTAAAATCCCCGGAAAATTTCGGAACCCTTTCAGAACGCCCCCACACGATCTCCAGACTCCCCGGATCCTTCAGACGCCGTCGAGCCAGCCCCATTCGATGCTCTTTTGAGGGCCATCGCAATTGTACATCCTGAATTGATTTAATAAAAATAATAATTTCTTTGTTTTTTTTTTCAACTTTAGCCGGTTTCAAATCCGTTAGTTAACGGTGAAATATCTTATGAGAGAAAGACTAGAAGTCTCCCAAATTCAACATTTTGATAACAGGGCTTCAAGATGCAACGATTGATGGCTATAGCAAGGGAAGATCTCAGAAGGTTTCCCTAGGAAATGAGAAGAATGCAGAGGGTACGACAACGGGCTCCTCCGAATCGAATTGTAAGTTTTCGAAGATTAGGTATAAATAAGATACTTGAAATTACAGAATGGTCCCAACAACCTACTTTTTTATTGCATGGTGTTCATGTGTTTGGTGTACTTTGTGAGTCAACTATAACTTCAAACTTTGAGCCAAATTTTCTCCGTTTCTTTATAAGATATCGAAATAGTGTCAACTGATAAAAAGTTTATCATAATGTCACCAATATTTCATCGGTTGGCAGAAATTTAATATCTTTTATAGGAACCGAGAAAATTGAGCTGAAAGCTACGGTACTACATTTGGACCCACCTTAAAACCTGTAATAGAAGGGTCCCTAGCTTTTATCTTTGTGCTGCTTCATCTCGGCCCTTGTGAAAGATATCAAAAAGTTTGTCAACTGATAAACTTTTTATTATAATATCACCAATATTTTATCAGCTGAAAATTTTTTGATATCTTGCACAGGAGCCAAGAAAAATTAGCTCAGCCCAAAATGGCAGTGCAAAGGCCCTTCTATTACAGGTTTTACGGTATAGGTTCAAAATTCGGATACATGAAATTTATTATCTAGATTTAAAATTTTCAGAGTCGCGAGTTTCTCTATCAAGAATTCTTCCTAATCGGAGAGGTCTACCAATGCTTGATGGACAGTTAGAATTTGTGGGCAGGGATTGAGAAGGGGAATCGAAAGGATCTTCTTGCTGACTACAGCTTCCTTCATTTTCTGGTCACATAAGGTTATTTGAAATATAGAGTTTCGTCTGGTTATTAGTCCAGATATTACTTATTCGTGCTTGTGGGAATCAGTTTTCCAAAATCCTTGAGATGGATATGAGACTACAGACTGGAATCTGAAAATGCAGCAGGCCTTACTAGTTAGGACGCCAATTGAAGGGTAACAACCTCAAATATTTAGAGGTAAGATTTTTCAGCTACACAGTTGCCATTAAAAAAATAATTCCAGAAAGGAATCTTCACCACGAACTGGAGCATTCGGAAGAGACCGCGGTCTGATGAATAATCGATCTGGAACATCCGGAAGATTTAGGATTTTGGAACATCCAAGGTTAGACAATTATGTGTGGAATATAAGTGAGTCAGTGAGCGTGTGTGTGTGTGTGTGTTTGTGTGTGAGAGAGAGAGAGAGAGAGAGAGAGAGAGAGAGAGAGAGAGAGAGAGCTCCTCGCTTACCGTATTTTCTCTAATAGAAGCGTACCTTAAACGTTCACCTTGAGCTCAATTATTTCGTCTCCCACAAGAGATATTAGAATTGCGTCAACTGACAAAATTTAGCTGATAATGTGAGGAATATTTTATCAGTTGATAGATTTTTGATATCTTTCAAAGGAATCGAGATAATTGAGCTTAAAGTGTACGTATAGGACGGTCTTTTCAGAGCGAATACGATAAGAGAGACTAGAGAAGGAGACAGAAGACTTTATTAGCGATATTCCAAAAATAGTAACAATTTAGGATCTTTTTTAAAAAACTTTTTTCAGTGCCACGCCCCTTTTGCCAAAAATTTGCTTCATCATTTCACAGCGACTTCCGGATTTTCCTTTTTTTTTAATCCCTTATGGCTTTTTTCAACTTTTTCATCCTTTTTGGTTTCCAACGTTCTCCCATATCACAAACAAATCTTTTCTTTTTTGAGCCCAATCCCCTTAATCCTTCTCCCTTTTTCTACTCATTCATGTTTCGCATCTTTTTGCTCTTTCATCTCTTTCGTTTTGTTTTTAAAATAACTGGAATAATGAAACATTTTTTCAGGTAACGTCGTCATCCACGTCATCAACAAATATGTCTTCTGGAGCGCCAGCCAATCGTCCAACGGAGAATATGGAGGTGAGTTTTGGTATTTAATTTTTGGTATAAAATTAATCTGGGATAAAGGGAAGATTTAAAATATTGAATCGGATCAAAAGTTCTTATTATTTTGGGGCACTTTTAAATTCAGTTATAGAGCTCTTCTTTGGAATGTTTGCTGACTATTTGCGGATTTTTGAATATTTTAGAATCTAAAATTTAGAAATTTTGTGTTTAGTGATTTGTTTCAATTCTTGCTCCCACCACTCCTTCTTCCATGCACCCCGTCTTTAGTTTCCCAAAAAGCGGAAAATTCTAGAAATTATTATTTGGTTGCCTAGTTTCCAAATCACCAAAATCTTCGAAAATTTAGGGGGAAGACGACGATGTTGGGTTTATGTATGAAGGACTGGTGAGATGCTTAACTTCCAAAGAAGTGGAAGAGGATAGGAGGAGAGATGTGTTGCGTAGAGAGCACGGAATTTCTAGACGTGCTTTGAAAGATCAGGTTGAAGACGTTGGGCAATAGGGGAAAATGATTTGAAAGTTTTCAGGAGCCGAGAAGTGAGATGGAGCAGCCTGTGGTGGAGCATCCTGTGATGGAGCATCAAGCCCAACAGGTCAGTTTTCTATCTTTACTGTTAAAAAATCATCAAATTCTGTGTGTGAGTGTGTCCGGTGTTCCCGGGTCGCCGACCCTAGCGCAGTCACCGTTGGACCAACATTTCCGAAAATTTCACAAATTACCCCAAAAAGCAGCGAGATGATGCCCGACTTTATTGTTTTTCGAAATTTTGTCTCTGACGTCTTCTGAAAACGTTAACCTATTTCTACAACGGAAGCCAAGAGATTGGGCGTAAACCGACTGGTAATTTTTTATGTATCCTATGGTGTCCGTCATAAAGGTAGAACCCCCTCGTGGGAATAAAAATGCCCCAACTCATCTGAAACCTTGTGGTCCTATAATTTGAGACATTCTGAATAAAACTCATTCGGTAGGGGCGTCTTATCTTTATGATGCACACTGTATACCCACCATCAGCTCTGCTAATCCACGCTCATAATCAATTTTCAGGTCCAGGACATCGTGGCGGAGGAACAAGAAGACGACGACGAATACATCGATGTTGGCAGCCCTCCTCCCATGCCAGAAGATTACATACCAATCCACCTGGCTCTGTTGGAAAAGGACAGATTGAGAAAAGTGAGAATAGTGACCTATCCCTCGGTTTTTAGCTTTATTTTTCAGGAGGAAGCCACCGTGAGCTTCCTGAATGAAAACCCAGATTACCTTCAAAAGAATATGGAGCTTGGAGCTGAAGGACAGCCAATCTCTGCGGTTGAATCCCCCGGGGTCAACCCAGCTTCGATTGGGGAGACATCGGTTATCTTTCCGATTGCCCCAACGTATTCTCTTCCGATGTGGAACTATTTTTCGGCGCTTTCGACGGGCTATGTTGCTTTTCCCACCGTTGGCATCTCTTCAGTCTTCATCACATCGGAAACATCTGCGTTTTACAATCCAGGACAAGTTTTGGGTACCGATCCATTAGTGGCTGATACGGTCCCGGACCAAGAAGCTCCAGTTGATCTGTCTCGCCAAACTGGACAAAACGATCCGGTTAGTGATAAACGCTTTCCTGGAATAACCTAGACTGACCTTGTTCAGACCTTTGATCCTGCTCCACAACTCTTTCCGTTCTACCTACCTTTGCCAGGGTATCCAGGCAATTAGTTTGATCAGAGACAAACCGTAATTAGGTAGTTTAAATGTTGTATGGTTTTTCGCTGTGCTTGTCTTTTTGGTTAAGCGTTTTGGTTCTTTTGGTTGCTGTGCATTTTTCATTTTTGAAAACTTATTGGTTTTTTTTCTAGAGAAACAATCCGGGTAACAATAGAGATAGTGCCAAAAATAGTGCGCAGTGCCAACGAAATTTGGCAGAGACGGGTCGTGAAAGCATGAACCAGGTACGGTAGATGGGTTAGAGATGGGACAAAGGGGGGATCTAAAAAAATAATAGAGTTTATCAAAATTTTTGCCGGAGGGAACTGCGAATGTGCTAGCTGATGTTGAGGAAGACGTGGATCAAGATGATCTGCAAAGATTGAGACTTACTTCTTGGCTGTTGGATGGCTATGAGGGCGAGGAGCAAGAAACTGATGAGAACGGGATTCTTCCAGAAGCCCAAAGCAGCGATGCGGTTGACGACGAGAATGAAGAAGCTGCTGAAGTGGTACTAACGCTCCAGAAGGCGTCAATGGACCTTGAGGATGTTAAAAGAGACGCTTCGGTCGGAGCACCAAAGGAGATTGGTGAGGATGCTCCAGAAGAAGTGTCTGATGAAGGACTGGAGAGAGAGTTCGATCATGCTGCTGAAGATTCTTCCAACAAAGGACCAAAGATGACCTTCGAGAATGTTGGAGTAAAATCTTCGGACAACGGAGTCGTGAAGATCTTGGACGACGTTCGAAGAGAATCTTCTAAGGAGCCACCGAAAGAGGTCATCGAGGATGCACCTGAAACTACAGAATGTCAGGATAGTGCAACTTCAGAAGCCACCAATCCAATTGCTTCAACCCTTCCAACCACTTCCGCGGCTTCCAACATCGAGACACCTCCACAACCAGAACCGGAACCCCGTGAGCAGCTTCAAGGAATTCTCGCAGTCCGATCGGGTGACATCGTAATGAATCGGACACGACCAGTGAGTTTTTAGTTCATCTTTGGACATGCATATTACTTTATGTCTACAAAAAACCATAGTACATACTTGCTAGTCAAATTCCTGAAAGTTATAACGATTTGCCAGTAAACATTATTATTTTTCAGAAAAAATGCGTCCGATTCGGAAGCCCTTTGGAGCACATCAGCATCTTTCTGCCAATCGAGTAAGAAAACCCAGGACCATCAAATCAACCCTCCCAGGTAAGTGTTTAGTTCAATGAGATACTTTTAGATATTTTTATAGTACCGGCCTGTTTGCAGCGCTTCTGGCGCTTCAAACAGATGGCTGGCGGGCCTTCGGCGCGGGAAAGAGACTGGTTTATTATAAGAATGATGATAACCAGTGTGTGCTACCGATAAGGTTTCGGTAATGGACCGCGACGTTTTAGAACCGCGACATTTTAGAACCTTGACGTTTCAGAACTCCGACATTTTAGAACCGCGACATTTTAGAACCGCGACGTTTCAGAACCGCGACATTTAAGAACCGTGACGTTTCCGAACTCCGACATTTTAGAACCGCGACATTCTAGAACCGTGACGTTTCAGAACCGCGACTTTTCAGAACCGCGACATTTTTGAACCGTGACGTTTCAGAACTCCGACATTTTAGAACCGCGACATTCTAGAACCGTGACGTTTCAGAACCGCGACTTTTCAGAACCGCGACATTTTTGAACCGTGACGTTTCAGAACTCCGACATTTTAGAACCGCGACATTCTAGAACCGTGACGTTTCAGAACCGCGACTTTTCAGAACCGCGACTTTTTTGAACCGTGACGTTTCAGAACTCCGACATTTTAGAACCGCGACATTTTAGAACCGCAATATTTTAGAACCGTGACGTTTCAGAACCGCGACTTTTCAGAACCGCGACATTTTTGAACCGTGACGTTTCAGAACTCCGACATTTTAGAACCGCTACATTTTAGAACTGACCAGTACTGTCAAAAAAATCGTGTAGTCCGTGACGTTGATCGTGAACGTGACGTTTCAGAACCGCGACGTTTCAGAACCGCGACATTTAAGAACCGTGACGTTTCCGAACTCCGACATTTTAGAACCGCGACGTTTCAGAACCGCGACATTTTAGAACCGCTACGTTTTAGAACCGCGACGTTTCAGAACCGCGACGTTTCAGAACCGCGACTTTTCAGAACCGCGACATTTTTGAACCGTGACGTTTCAGAACTCCGACATTTTAGAACCGCGACATTTTAGAACCGCAACATTTTAGAACCGTGACGTTTCAGAACTCCGACATTTGAGAACCGCGACGTTTTAGAACTGACCAGTACTGTCAAAAAAATCGTGTAGTCCGTGACGTTGATCGTGACCGTGACGTTTCAGAACCGTGACGTTTCAGAACTCCGACATTTTAGAACCGCGACATTCTAGAACCGTGACGTTTCAGAACCGCGACTTTTCAGAACCGCGACTTTTTTGAACCGTGACGTTTCAGAACTCCGACATTTTAGAACCGCGACATTTTAGAACCGCAATATTTTAGAACCGTGACGTTTCAGAACCGCGACTTTTCAGAACCGCGACATTTTTGAACCGTGACGTTTCAGAACTCCGACATTTTAGAACCGCTACATTTTAGAACTGACCAGTACTGTCAAAAAAATCGTGTAGTCCGTGACGTTGATCGTGAACGTGACGTTTCAGAACCGCGACGTTTCAGAACCGCGACATTTAAGAACCGTGACGTTTCCGAACTCCGACATTTTAGAACCGCGACGTTTCAGAACCGCGACATTTTAGAACCGCTACGTTTTAGAACCGCGACGTTTCAGAACCGCGACGTTTCAGAACCGCGACTTTTCAGAACCGCGACATTTTTGAACCGTGACGTTTCAGAACTCCGACATTTTAGAACCGCTACGTTTTAGAACCGCGACGTTTCAGAACCGCAACATTTTAGAACCGTGACGTTTCAGAACTCCGACATTTGAGAACCGCGACGTTTTAGAACTGACCAGTACTGTCAAAAAAATCGTGTAGTCCGTGACGTTGATCGTGACCGTGACGTTTCAGAACCGCGACGTTTCAGAACCGCGACTTTTCAGAACCGCGACATTTTTGAACCGTGACGTTTCAGAACTCCGACATTTTAGAACCGCGACATTTTAGAACCGCAACATTTTAGAACCGTGACGTTTCAGAACTCCGACATTTGAGAACCGCGACGTTTTAGAACTGACCAGTACTGTCAAAAAAATCGTGTAGTCCGTGACGTTGATCGTGACCGTGACGTTTCAGAACCGCGACGTTTCAGAACCGCGACTTTTCAGAACCGCGACATTTTTGAACCGTGACGTTTCAGAACTCCGACATTTTAGAACCGCGACATTTTAGAACCGCAACATTTTAGAACCGTGACGTTTCCGAACCCGACATTTTAGAACCGCGACGTTTCAGAACCGCGACATTTTAGAACCGCTACGTTTTAGAACCGCGACGTTTCAGAACCGCGACATTTTAGAACCGTGACGTTTCAGAACTCCGACATTTGAGAACCGCGACGTTTTAGAACTGACTATTACTGTCAAAAAAAAATTCGTGTAGTCCTCAAGGAAAATAAAAATTTTACCGGTAATTTTCCGGTAATTTACCGGTAAAATACCGGTAAATCTTCGGTAGTTTTCAAATTTACCTGTAGGTTAGGGACCGGTAAATTACCGGTAAAATCACAAAAAAAACCGTTACCGGTAAGTGAAAATCGGAAGTCACACACTGATGATAACCTAGAACAACTGGACTCCTTTAACTTTTCAGAAAGAAACATCCTCGAAATAACAATAGAAGGTCAACATGAGATCATTGGCTAGTCTGGTTGTGCTCAATTTTCAATGCTTTTTTGCATGTATTCTCTATATTAATGCCGCGTTCAAAGTTGATTTCCAGGAGTAATTTCCTGGAAAAAAGCTGTCCAAAGCTGCGATTGTTTTCCAGATTTACTGCAACAGTAAACTACTGTATCACTCGTTTTGACTGTGTTCTTCCTGTTGATTCATGTCGATTTACGGCGGGTCTCGAAGCGGAGGCCTCTGGAAAACAATGGCAGCTTTGGACAGCGTTTTCCAGGAAATTACTCCTCAACTTTGAACGCGCCATAAACCTCAAAACCGTTTCTATTGTACCTTTGAACCCATCTCTTACCACTCTTTAAATTCAGCATTATATTGTTTCTTTTGTTCTTCCCCAGGTATACTGTCAAACCCTATCCTATCTAGTTAACTTTTTTCCTCGGTAGTTTTTTTGCCAGCCTTTTTCCATTTTTTTGTCAATTTCCTCTTCATATTCTGACTTTTTCATACCATTACGCCTAGTTTTTAAAATGATTCTATTCTGTTTTCATCGGAATTTATATACCTGTACCATTTTTGTATTCTACCGTCTAATCAATTCGTTGTAGAATGAACATTGCCGACAAAATTGACGTTGCTCGTCAGCAACTCGAGCAAATTGAAATTGATTTGGAAAAGAAGTTCGCCGAGGTCAAGGATGCTGAGAAGAAGCTCTCTGGTGGGTTTTCTTTAGACTGCGCTCTACCGCAATATTTGTGATCCTTGTTTGTATAGTTTCAATAGAGTGCGTTACCTTCTTGATAAAAATACATACAATTTTTCAGAGCAACCGACGAACAAGGAGCTCATGGAGCAGGTGGCGAAGCTCAATGATGAGGACATCAAGCTCCAAAATGCAAAGCACGAGAAAGAGGAAGAGATTGCTAGCCTGGTGAGTGGCTTTCCTATGGATGTTGTGGGTTTTCAGTTGTGCACCTTTAAGGAGCTCTGGCGTGATTGGATGTATCGGGCCATCGCGGTTTGGCATCTCTATGTGGAGGAGGCTCCCGCCGAGGAGGAGAACGTCGAACAGGGAGAGGCTGAGCATTAGCAGAGGGATTAATTATTGTTGTAATGTACCCATAATGCATGTATCAATGAATTGTTTGGTTTTTGAGTATGCTCTTTGTGTTATTTTTGGTTCCTAACATGTTGGTTGCAGTGACTTGTACTTCTATCACCTCCTTCCTCCCTATTTTTTCAGTTTCTAAACTCCTTTCAGTAAGATGAGCAGCGACTCGGATCAGGAGCTTCTTGCCACATACCGAGGTCGACTGGAGATTGCCAACCAAGAGATGGAGAGGGTCGAGTCCGAATTGAGAAGTGCACAGGAGGAATTGAAGCGTAAGCTCAAAACGAAAGTAATTTATTTTGAAATATAAATTGTAGGTCATCCGGAGCAGCCAATGGACACCGAAGCGGTTGAGGCCAAGAAGGCATGTCTTCAGATGGTTAAAAAGTTTGAGGCGGAGCTAGAAACCATTCGAGTCAAAAAGTTGGTTCTGCATCATGCCGTGAGGGGACTAGTGAGTATTTGATTTCACAACTCTGCATGTATCAGTGTCCTTTACAGGAAAATCCTCTTGCCATGTATGACCCACGACATTGGTTAAATTTGGGAGATGCGCTCAATGGCATTCGTCGTAATTGGCTGTCCTGACATGTTAATAAAATGAATTTTGTTTGAATTATAGTTTTTTCTAGTCAATTCTGTTCACCACAGAGTCTCTCACTATCTACATACCCCCGACTAATCAACTTCTAATCCAGCGATTCAGAAACGGTATGAGCGCGCAGGAAATCGCCAAGTTTCAGCAACAGCTCCTGGATGTGAGAAAGGTGTTGAAGGAGCTCGAGGACCAGAGAAAGATGGTCCAGGAGAAAATTGAGGGTGAGGATCCTTGATAAGTTTGTTTTGTGGATTTAGAATTTTCAGAGCATCCCGACCAAGCAAAATGGGTGGATTTGATGGTGGTTGTGAAGGACGCGGTGGAGAGCACGACGATGGTGGAGAACATATTAGAGAAACTGGTGGAGGGATTGGTAAGTCTTGGGATGAGGCGAACATCTTCTACAAATGTTGGCCAATCTTTGTCCAATCTACTACTGTATTTTCTCTAATAGAAGTCCATCCTATACATGCACTTTGAGCTCAATTATTTCGGTTCCAATGGAAGATATAAAAATCTCTCAATTAATGAAAATCTGTTAAGGATCAAAAAACCTGGGGTCTCGACACGGTCAAGTTTAAGTCAACTGATCTTGGTTCCTGTCAACGATATCAAAAATGTGTCAACTGGTAAGTTATTTATCGTAATATTACCTATATTTTATCCGTTGACACATTTTTGATATCTCTTCTAGGAACCGAGATAATTGAGCTCAAAGTGCATGTATACGGTAGACTTGTGACCTCTCATTTTTCAGGAGAAAGCACACGATGACCTCCAGAAGATGGAGCAACCAGCAGAGAAAGCAGATCCACAATAACTCGTTTTAAATAGAATTCAGTGGAATAAACATTATACATGTTGCCACCCTGTCATTTTCTCCTATTTTTTCAGTTCCAAACCTGTTTGATTCAGAGCAACCCTATCTTTTATCAGTCTTGTTTTTACGCTCCTTTAAATCTTAACTAATACATTTTTTCAGGTACAAAAATGGCTAACCAATTGGAAGCGATGCAAATGGAGCTGGCTCGAATGGACCAGGAATTGGCGGACCTGGAGGTTCAATTGGTCGACGCCCACAACGATTTTGATGGTAACAGTTTTTTTTTTTTTAATTCTTAAAAGAGTGTAAAAATGTACAATTTTCAGAATTCGTTGGCGACTTCATCGATCGTGGACTTCCAATCCAAGAGGATGACTTTCCAGACTTCTTGGAGCACGTTGACAGAATCATAACTCTGAAGGAGCGTCAGAATGCGTTGGAGGATCGGAAGGAAGCGTTGGAGATAAGAGTGAGTGATTCTTGTTACTAACATCCATGTCTGTGTCTATATCCCTTTTTAGATCCAACTGAATGAGGATAACTTGGAGAACCATCACTAATCATCAAACACCGCTTCTATGTTCGCTATATCTCACAAACACGTATCTAACCTTGCTGCCTGCCTAATTAGTCCAGAATCCTGAATATGCTCACCCCTTCTTACACACCTGAATCCCCTCCGTAACTATGGGATTCTCACGCTTCACCAAGTTTCGTAATAATAATTAACCAGAAGGTTTCCATGACTTCGATTACCTTATGGATCAGTGAATTTCATTACTAACCCTAATTTTTAACTTTTGAGATTGAGAGAGATCACATTGAGAGCACATCTGTTGTCCCACATTCTAATTTCAGTTGTACTTGTGCATTTTTTGTTGCAAATGAAAGTTTGCTTGTTGATAAATAGCTTTGAATTTTAGCACATTTTGCACAGATTCAAGTTCTGGAACGACAATCAATCGATATTTGAATGGATGTTCATAAAAAGATGTGTTGTTTCATCCATAACCAAGGCTATGCAAATCTCGGCCGCGGCCGGCCGTGGGCATGACCACCACTACAGTATACAAAAGTCTCACTTCCTTTTTTTCCCTTTATTTTTCCCCCCAAGAAGTTGTATAACTTGAGCCAATTTTTCTCGAAACTGTGTCATCTAAATGGCTCCGTTTTTCTGTATATTGCCTACTGTTCGACTAGGCAGATTTTTTTTCAGACGCTCGACACGGACTACACACGGAATACATTTTGTACAAGTTAGTTTTGTCTGAAAATTCCAGCATGGAATGCCCCAGAAACTAGTTTGGTTTAGAACGAAATGTATACATCAACACCTTTTGATATAAACGACCCAGCAACATAAACAAAGTGGAATCGTCAAAACTTTTTTTAGAATCAGCGTTTTGTTTATTTTGTAGCTTGCTTTGGTTTGAGGTGTTACCTTTAATAGACCGGCACTGGATGAGAATTACCGTTAAACATGTAATAGAAGGGCCTCTAACTTTGAGCCAATTTATCTCGGTTCGAGTGAAAGATATCAAGAATGGGTTAACTGATAAATTGTTTATCATAATATCATCAATATTTTATCAATTGCCACATTTTTGATATCTTGCATAGGAATTGAGATAATTGAGCTAAAACTTGACAGTGTAGGTTTCCTTCTATTACAGGTTATATGGCATTTCGATTTCTGAAAAAACGATATCAAGACTTTTCAAAAATTCTCAGAATGTTATCAGTAGATAATTTGTTGATATCACCTCCAGAAAATGAGATAAACCTGTCTGATTGCATGTGTCTTTTGTGAGGCGTACTGATTTCAAAAGATCCCAATTTTTGATTTTGCTCACTTTTCCCTGCCCTCACTTCCTCTCTCCAGCTTTAATAACTTCCTATCTATATTTTTCCACAGGGATCGAACTAATGCGAAGTAGCGTGTCAGCTTCAAATTTATTTTCATGCGGCGTGATAATTGTTCTCTCACTGTGCTGCACTGAGATTGTATGCTTTTCCTATTCCTGACGTTCCTCCAAAAATCTGAAATTCCCATACCCCAAAAAAGGAAACATGAAAATTGAAAATTCCCAACAGATTTTTTTCCTTCCCTTTTTTCTCTTTTCCCCTGATTTTTTCCTATTGTTTGCACCTCTGACATAAACCTCCTAGCCGTCAACTTTGACTGAATTTACCTTGATTCCTGTAAACGATATCAATCAGCGATCAACTAACAAAATATTTGTGATAACATGATAAACGTTTTGTCAATAGACCACTTTTTGGTAACTTTCACAGGAACCGAGATATATGAGCTCAAAAATGGACGGTGTTTATGATGATTTCTGTGTAACTGATTTTCCTTGGTTCCGTCTGTTTTCCCGAATGCTTTTCGTTTTGTTTAACCTTCTATTGAGCACCTACCGTACCCTCATCTTCTATATTTCAGCAAACAAGCAAGAATGTTCGACGTCATCATCAATGGAGCGCGAAAGATCTGGCGACATGTCACGTCATCGAGCACCTCCTCCTCTGCTCCAGTTGAGGCCCAAGGAATGGAAGCGGAGGAATTTTTCTATTGGCACGAGATGCTCCATGGATTCAAAAATGACAGCCAAGGGACCTACCCCCAGATTCCAGCTGGCGCCAAGGAGATGCTGAACTCCTCGGAGCTGTTCAACAACGGCGATGTGGAGGAGTTCGTCAGGTGGCAAGAATACGGTAAGGGGGAAATAATATAAAGTAAAACATGGGATTTTCAGTGCATTGCCGTCAAGAATGCAGCGAACCAGGACCTTCTCCGTTGGCTGACTCCCGCGAGCTCCCGGGTTCGGAGGCTGATAATTCGGATTCTGAAGCTTCATCGTCATCGCTGGGACTCGGCTCAGAGTATGAGGAAGACAGTTAGTTTATTTTGTATGTTATCTTGGCTAGAATCAATTTTTAGCCGCCAGTGAGTGGTCGGAGGACAACTTCGAATTCGCGTACGACTGCAGGTGAAAGAGTTGGCGGTGTTTTTCTTCTATTATCCTAAGAATTCTAGTCCTATTCCTCTGGTAAATTGTGATGTTTCTCAACCCGAACCGCTTCAGAAGTTGTAACAATTTTTTTTCTTTGCAATGTAGAAGCCCACTCTATGCCAGCACATTAAGCTCGATTTTCTCTGTTCCTTCAAAAGATATTTGAAAATGTTCAACGGATAAATTATTTATCACAATATCAGAAATATTTTGTCAGTTGACTGATTTTTGATATTTTTTATAGGAATCGAGATAATTAAGCTAAAAAATACCGTAGTTTTTGTGTTTTTCGCTCTTTCGTTGTTCTTTCTTCTGATAATCCAAGATCCACAAAATAAACTTTTCATAATTTATCTCTGCGGATTTAAATGAGTACTGTGGATGGGCAAGAATATTCTGGAAATGATGAAACCAAATGGCGTTCAGTGATGCCAAAAAGCCGAGCTTCATTATGAAAGATAAGTTGATATTCACAAGCTACAGTAATATAATTTCATTATATTTCAGAAAACAAGATTTCAAAGATTGGCAATGGAAATATTATACGAAGGAATGGTTGAAGAAGATGAGTTCTATTTTATTTTTTCTCTTCTCGATGAACCATCAAAAACGAATATTTTTCAGTATCAGATCGGAGATTGGCACAAGCTGGAGGACAAATCTCTCGATAGCTTTATCACCATGGATGGAGATCCCAGATCTTGGAAGCAATAAAAGGTGAACTTTTGGAATATTGATTCTTTAAATCTTGTTTCTCTTTCAGACAGCGTCTGCCTCCAGCTTCTACTTTGCTCGAGCAGATCCAATGCTTCAGCTTCTCCGGCTCCTACTTGGTCCAACGGTGACTGTAATTGGTTCCTGAAAAAGTGTCAGAATTGTGGAAGTTTTGTCCTTTACTGCTTCACTATGAGCTTGCTTGGTTACGTACTAGCTTGCATATTGATTCTTCATACTTTTCGCTTGGCCGAGCATTTGCAAACTCATTTGATCATAAGATAACGAGCCTAAAAAGTGATAGCACCACCCCGGCGATGAGTATGGATTCTTTGACACTTTCGCTTTTTTATCACCTGCTTCCCTTTTCACATTAAGCACGATTCTTGTACACTTTGAACGTTTTTTCTTTTAATTATGCAGTCACAAAATTCCCGCCACAATCACTTTGACTCATTGTGCCGTAAACACTTAAAAATGCTGACCCTATATTTAACCTTGAGATGCATTATCTCGGTTCTTGTAAAAGATATCAAAAATTTGTCAACTAATAAGATATTGGGGATGTTATGATAAACAATTTATCAGTTGACAACTTTTTGATATCTTTGACAGGAACGAAGATCAGTTGACTTAAACTTGATGGTGTCGGGACCCCAGGTTTTTTGATCCTTAACAAATTTTTCCACAATTTTCTCACTTTATATGTCATGCTTTTGTAAATTGTACATTTGCTACCACGGTAATCTGAATAAAAGGCTATTCTATACTAACTGAACTTTTTGGCTGTACCATTAACACAGTGAGCTTCATTTTCAGAAAGGGAGAGAGAGAGAGAGAAATCCTTTTTTTTCTTTCAATCATTACAGATCTTCAAATTTTACTATATTATTTATTTACGACTGTTTTTCCGATTTTTCTGTCTCCGTATATCCTCCACAATTCCATTTTTCAGTTTTTCATTTCTCACTCTCCAACACTTCAACCCATTTCTTTCTCTACCGTACCCCTCTTTTCAAAAGCCCACTTTTTAGAATAATCACCAGAATTGAGTTTTCCAAATCTTTTTTCTAATTCTTCACACTTCCTATTATCAATTTCTCTTTGTTCCTAATATTTAACTTTTCTACCGTACTCCGCCGTCGTCTCTCTTCTTCTCAATTTTCATATAATCACGGAAACCTCTTTTCAGATTCTATCATGGAACAAAGAGAAGGTCTTTACGATGGTAAAATCAATTGGGATACGAAAAAATTGAAGTTCAATTTCACCCTAGGACTTGAGAAATTGTCTGAGAAAAACGAAGGATTGCAAGCTGAATTAGGTGTAAGTTTTTACCAGATTCGATTTTTTTTTTTAATTTCTCATTTCATGTTTTCTAGAAAATTTCACCTGAAGTCATGGAAGCGATCGCTGGAACCTCAGCAAACGTCTCTTACGACGCACTTCGAGAACTGGACCAAAATAGGCGTCGTCAATTGGAAAGGGAGCTGAAGAAGTTGAGAGATACGTTTGAAGCTCGAATCAAAGATCTCACAGAGGGAAATAAGCAACTTCGAGAACAACAAAAGACGAATCAGATCGAGCACGAGAAGCTGGAGTCAAAATTGCAGGAGTCTGAGACTGAAAAAGGGATTCTTCTGAACGAAAATTCAACATTGAAGTGTTCGGTCCAAGAGCTCGAAACCGAGAAGAATGCTATTAAAGCGACAAACTCAGAGCTGCATAAGAAGCTGGGAACATCGGAAGAAAGGCTCAAGGATCTTCAAGAAAAACTTGAAAAGGCGAGAAGAAAAGGCGAGAAGCTTCAGGAAAAGCTTTCGAATTTGGAAGAACAGCGGAAAGCAGGCCAGAAAGATAGCGAGAAGGCTGTCGAGCACATGCTGGACTTGGAGAAGAAACTTCTGGAGGCCACAACACAAAAAGAGAAGCTGCAGAAAGATCTCATTGAAGCTGCTCGAGTCTCTGAGGTCTTCAAAAAGGAACAGCACTCAAAACTGCAGCAGACTCAGAGAGATAAAGAGGATCAGAAGGCTTCCCTTGAGGCTGAAATAAAAAATCTCCAAGTGAGGAGCTCAGAACTCACTAAGAATCTCGTGATAGCTGAAGAAGGGCTCGAGAATCTTCAAGAACGTCTTCGAGGATCAGAACAACAAAAAACCGCGGTTCAGAAAGAGAAAGAGGACGCTGTGGGAAAGCTTCAGGATCTCGAAGGAAAAATTCTTCAGTGCAATAAGGAAAAGGAGCAGCTCCAGAAGACAGTCAAAGAACTCGAGGGAAAAATTCAAGAATCTGTCGTCTCCAACAAAGAACTCGAAGCAAGACTGCAGGTGGTGGATAGCAAAAATGGAAAGCTTCAAGAAGAAAATACGAGACTGGAGACAACGGTAAATACGCTTCAAATGAATGTAGCTGAACTTCAGAAAAGTGTGGAGCAGGCAACCGCCGCCAACGGACAACTTGCTGAAAAACTGAACGCTTCTGAAGAAAAGAACAGGGATTTGGAGGGAAAAATAGCCAATCTTGAGGAATCACTTGCAAGACGAGCTAACGATTCATTGGTTTTGGAGCGGATATTGAATGAGGCAAATGCGGGATTAGAACGATTGAGAGCTGCTGAAGAAAATCGTCGAGAATCAATGACTCCCGAGGATCCTTCGTCGGAGACTGTTGTTGCAGCGAATCTCCAAATCGTTCACGACGGTAATATGAGCTCCTCCCCAGTATGCAGATGTTTTGCCTACTCGGCCTTCTCTCTCTCTCTCTCTCACTCCCTGAATCGTCTCCCGAATAGTTCCTGAATCCACACCTTACCTCTTCATGATTTTCTTGAAGAATCTTTTGTGCTCCTCCACTCTTCTCAAAATCTTCCCAACCAATATGCCCCTCACATTATGACCACTTCCCAGATCTTTTGTCAACCCACCTTCCTTAATACCCTCGTTCAATGTTTCCTGTTCCTGTTTTCTGCTCACATTTTCTTTCTCTGCAGCTTTTGTAGTTATCCTTCATGCCCTCCCGAACTCCTGCTGCTTCTGACATATCCAGAATCTGAAATGCTGTTCCGAAATTAGATTTTTTTTTCTCCCAACAAATCCTTTCCACGAGTTCTGTATCTCTTGATTCTAAGATTCTATTGAGTACTGTTTCCCTCACTCCGTCCGTTCTTTGGACTTGTTTGAATATTTCAAAGTGATCCTAATTTCAATTATCCTTATTTCCTAACTTTTCTTGTTTTACCAGCTAAGTTTCTTTTTTTAACCGTGCAGCTCTCCTTTTTTGCCATCTAAGACTATCATTACCTCATTCAAAAGTTCCCAGATTCGAAAATCCTATTTCACTGGTCACCCCTCCCTTCTCTCTCTCTGTACATATGAACTTTTTTTGGACATTTCAAATTGAGACCCTTCCCTCCAAACAACCGTTTTGTATGACCCTAAATCCTCGTTTTGGTTTCCATCCGCACACATTTCTCTATTTTTGAATAAACAGATGAATTATAAAATCCTTTATTCGAAATTTACAGAAACACACTTGTCCAATCAAAAAATCCTCAATTCTCATAAGCCAAACAAATTTGTCCATCCAGCTCGACGCGGCAGAAAATGTTCGAAGAGATCAGATACGAGAAGTCGAATTGGCTGCAGACCACATCGAAATTGTAGCCAAACTCTTTTTTGGCTCCCTGCGAGATTTTCAGCTTTGACACTGATACGCTAGACGACATTGACTGAAAATTTTAGGCTTTGAACAAAGCTGACGGGATCGCCAGGGCCAGGGCTGCGCCCGCCCGCTGACGCTGGCCGCCGCCGACCGTAAGACAGCTCTGTGGGTTGCTGTATACCTCTTCCATGATCTGCTGGAGTCGCGTACTTGAGCATTTCTCTGGCTTTTCGATTTTTGCTCCCTGAGCACGACGAATTCCACGGATACCGTTCATGGATTTGTAGGCTTGAAGAGAAGTCTCGAAGTTGGATAGGGCATTCTGGAAGTTCTGGTCATAAAACGTTCCCTCCTAAATATAAAACTAGGTTACTACATCAACATCCAAGTCGTTTTTTGCTGGCGAAGTGTCGGTGCGGCTTTTCTGGATTACTGTATCGAATGAGTCGGCGGTGGTTTCTTTAGCAGACGTCACTTGAATCGGCGCGTTTTGAGTTGGGGAATTGATGTAAGATGGTAGTTGATTGTTGTTGAATGGGGCATTGTAGCTACCTGAATTTTCTACAAATCTGAACAAAAAGAAGAGAAAGAAGAATTACTTGTGAAAACTGGAGTTTGCTGATAGGAGTTGTGGAATTGGGCTTGAATTGGGACTGGTATTTGTTGGGGTTGAGCGTAGTAAGGTTGTTGGATGAGAGTTGGAGGTGGTGGACGAAAGGATACTGGTTGGTAGGATGGGTAGACGGGAAATGGGCGGGGACCACATGGAGTTGGCTGAAAGGGTAGCTGGATTTAGATTCGATTTCTCCTGTACTGTGGATTTTCGGGATTTCAAAATTCTGACTTTTCAAAAAACAAAGAAAAACATGTGAAATTCGAAAACTTGATTGAATTAAAAACTTCAAATATTTGTCAAGGTTTTGATTTTTCACTACTTTTTGAATATCGTTGAAATCTCCGAAAAATAAGATTGCGGATTTTTAAGATGGAGCCCACACCTCGTCAACTTTGAGCCAGTTTATCTCATTTCCTGTAAGATATATCAAAATGTGGTCAACTGACAAAATGGTTATCATAATAGGAAAAATATTTTGTTAGTTGAAGACTTTTTGATACCTTTTACAGGAACCGAGATAAATTGAGGCGAAGTAATGGTATATTTCTAGGCAGCCGACCGCGTAGTTCAGTTGGCAAGCGCCGACTCTTTATTTTTGAGCTCATATAACTCAATGTCTGTAAGAGATATCAAAAAGTGGCCAACTGATAAAATGTTAATAATTTTATGATGAAAATTTTACTAGTTAACCACTTTTTGCTACCTTTACAGGAACTCAGATAAATTGAAGCGAAGTGATGGTATATTTCTAGGCAGCCGACCGCATTCTAGGCAGCCGACCGGCATGCTCCGACTTTTCAACTTTGAACCCCTATATCTCGTTTTCTGTAAGAGATATCAAAAAGTGGTCAACTGACAAAATGGTTATCATAATAGGAAAAATATTTTGTCAGTTGACGGTGTTTTGCTATTTTTTACAAGTACCGAGATAAATCGGGTCGAAGTTTAGAGGTCGGCAGCCGACCGCGTATTTCGTCTGGCAAGCACCGGCTTTCCACCTTTGACCCTAAATTTCTCACTTTCTGCAAAAGATATCAAAAAGGGGTCAACTGATAAAATGTTAATAATTTTATAATTAACATTTCACTAGTTGAAAACTTTTTTCTATCTTTTACAAGAACCCAGATAAATTGAGGCGAAGTGATGATATATTTCTAGGCAGCCGACAGCGTAGTTCAGTTGGCAAGCACCGACTTTTCAACTTTGAACCCACATATCTTGCTTTCTGTATGAGTTATCAAAAAGTGATTTATTGATTGAATGCTTATCATAAAATCACGAACACTTCATCGGTGGGGTACTTTTTGATATCTTCTACAGGAACCGAGATAAGTTGGCTCAAATGTGAAAGTTAGGGTAGTTGTTCTATTAGAGTGATGATATCGCACTTTGAGCTGAATTATCTCGGCTCTTATAGGAGATATCAGAACTCCGTCAACTGATAAAATGTTTATCATAATACCACCAACATTTTATCAATTAACAGTCTCCTTATATCTCTTATAGAAATCGAGATAATTGAGTATAAAGTTTCTCACCGGACAATAACTCCTCGCTACCGGCAACGGAGCAGCACATCCACACGTCTGTGGTCGACACCCACATCCTCCACCTCCACCAAAAAATAATCCTTGAGATATTCCAATCGTTGTCATGGATAGCAACAGAATATGCACCATTTTTGGGTGGTAGATCAAAAGTTACGCAACAACAAACGAATAGGAAAATGAGATGAATGAAATGAAATGGAAAGTGGGCGGAAGTGGTGAAACCGAAAAAAGAAAAAAGGAAATGAACCTAAACCGGAGAGGTTCGAAGTGTCAAAATGCATCCCTTTTCCGGTAATTACTGTAGTGCGGTGGTGAAGAGAGTGTAGAAAGAGGAGAGACGCAGAGAACAGTGGAGGAGGAGAAGCTGGAAAATGGATTGAAAACCATAACAATACATATAGTAAGTAGGGGAAGAATAATGGCTGGCAAAGTAAAGTACTTGAAATGGTTTTTGGTGAAAAAGAGTGGATAATAGGGAAATGGATTTTGGGGATTCTGAACTTTTTGAAGTTCTGAGATACTAAAATTCTGAAATTCTTGAATTTTAGTAAGATGCTGAAATTTTAAGATTCTGAGATTCTGAGATTCTAAGATTCTGAGATTCTGAGATTCTAAGATTCTGAGATTTTGAGATTCCGAGATTCTGAGATTCTGAGATTCTGAGATTCTGAGATTCTGAGATTCTGAGATTCTGAGATTCTGAGATTCTGAGATTCTGAGATTCTGAAATTCTGAGATTCTGAGATTCTAAGATTCTGAGATTTTGAGATTCCGAGATTCTGAGATTCTGAGATTCTGAGATTCTGAGATTCTGAGATTTTGAGATTCCGAGATTCTGAGATTCTGAGATTCTGAGATTCTGAGATTCTGAGATTCTGAGATTTTGAGATTCCGAGATTCTGAGATTCTGAGATTCTGAGATTCTGAGATACTGAGATTCTGAGATTCTGAGATTCTGAAATTCTGAAATTCTGAGATTCTGAAATTCTGAAACCCTGGAATGCTAAAACTCAGAAAATCCAAAAAAATTTATTTCGAGGCAAAAAATTAATAAATACCAAAATGCAGCAAAAATGAATAACCCGCTAGAATATCAAGCAAAAAATTTTCAGCAAAACAATTTCAGAGCAAATTTCAACACAAAATTAGAGACTACCGGTATCAGTTATTACTTTTTTGAAATATTATATTTTTCGATTTTTTTAGTTTTTTAGAATCCAGCATCAGCCATTTGTTGAGCCATATTGTCGTCGAATTCCAGTTTTGGCTCCTTTTCGAAATTCTGAAGTGGTGGGAGCAGACGACGTGGCAAGTTGTTAAGCATCGTGTTTTCCAGAACCTGAATTTTTAGTTTTTGCATAAAATCTAATCTAACCTTTGAACTACCGTAACCTCCCTTTAATAGAAACCCACCCAATATGCCCTCTTTGAGCCCAATTATCTCGGTTCCTATGAGAAACATCAAAAATCTGTCAACTGATAAAATATAGATGATATTCTGATAATTAATTTATCAGTTAACAAAACTTTGATATCTCTCATAGGAACCAAGATAATTGAGCTCACTGTGCACCAACAGCTTCTTCAAGAGCAGTTACAGTAGGACCCCTCAAATTTCGAATCACCTGGTACCTAATGATTCTAGAACTCCAAATTCCTCACCTTCGAATAAACTCCCTTATTACACAACGGAGTAGTACAGACACATAAAAGCGACGCCTGCTCTCCGGGAGATGCTGGTGGTCCCACGTGTCGTCTCTGACGAACGGGCGGTGCCAACTCGGTCATATCAATATTCTGACACATACTTGCTCCTGGCATCATCATCAGATATTGATAGATTGGAGTGTTTGGAGGGGTACAGAACTTTCGGACAATCGAACGACCCGAGTGATACATTACCGCCATGGAGCAAGATGTGGAGTTTTCGCAGATGGTTTTCTGGAAGATTCGATATCCTTGGTTGAGATTGGAGGTAGAGAAAAGTTGTAACCTAGAGAATTGTGTGAAATTAAAACAGCTTCAATTTGTTAGTTTACAACTTTGTCACATGGTTACCCATTGCCAAAATATACTCCATTTTCCTAAGCTTGTCAGTAGGGGCGGCCGGCATACCCCCCGCCCCCACAGCTCGTCGACTTTGAGCCCATATATCTCAATTCCAGGGAATGATATAAAAAAGTGGTCAACGGACAAAATGTTTGTTATTATATCACCAATATTTTATCGGTTGTCAAATTTCTGATATCTTTTACAGGAACCCAGATAAATAGGTTCAAAAAAAGTGGTCGCTTGTCGGCTGAGCTGCGCGGACGGCTGCCGACCTTCAAACGTTGAGGCCGCGCATCTCATTTCCTGTAAAAGATATCAAAAAGTTGTCAACTATCAAAATGTTTATTATAATATTTCTAATATTTTATCAATAAACCACTTTTTGATAACTTGTACAGGAGCTCAGATACATTGGCTCAAAGTTAAAATTCCGATTTTACCAACCTGACTGTTTCATGGCTTTTAGTTCGAAACTCGGTATTTCAAATATAGTTGAATCTAGTATTCGTCTGCAAAGCTCTTCAAATACTAAATTTCATATTTTTAGGTTAAACAAAAATTTCATGTTTAAACCGAGTTAAACGTGCTGCCGCGGACGCGGTTTGGTGGACAATATGAAGGCTCCCTTGACTATCAATTTTGACGCAATTTATCTTGGTTCTTGTGAAACATATCAAGAAGTGGTCAACTAACAAAATGTTACTGATATTCTGATAACCATTTCATTAGTTGACCACTTTTTGATATCTTTTACAGAAACCGAGATAAATTGTGTCGAAGTTCAGAGGTCGGCAGCCGACAGCGCAGCTCAGCTGGCAAGTGCCGCCTTTTCACATTTGTGCCAAATTTTTCTCGGTTCGTGTAAAAGTTATCAACATTAATTCAACAGATAAATTTTTATCATAATATCAGCAATACTTTATCAGTTGACAACTTTTTGATATCTTTCACAGGGACCGAGATAATTAATTTCAAAGTTGAAGCGTTCGAGAATATAACTTTTTTGAGAAGCTCCACACACTCTGCTTCTCTGTGCTCTCTTCTTCTCTTACACTGTTTGACACTCACCCTATCAATACACGGACCACTTTTCGTCAACTCTGTATTGCATGTGTAGCATTCGAAGGCATGACCAAGTTGAAGGACCACCGTGAAAATTATGAAAATTTTCAGCATTTTTTTTTTTTGGAAAAATTGAAACTGATCTGTAAAACCAATTCGTTCTTTTTGTATGATGATTTTTTCGGTTCGGGGTCTTGTGACTGACCAAAACGAATCTCATTAGGAACGGAAAACGGAAAGAGAACGACCGATCCGGTTTTTTGGGATGGGGAGGGGACAGGGAGAGTAGGCAATTTAGGATTGTTGGGTAATTGAAAAATAAGTGAATGGTAAATATTAGTATCTCGAGGTTTTGGTTAAGGATGGTCAATGGTCTAGGATAGTGTTTGTACCAAGGTAGACACGTGGTCGGCAGCGGACAGGGGCCGTGGGTAGGGCGTTATGGACCAAAGTGACCATCAGTCTCCTGATTGTTTATCCGAGCTCAGTTATCTCAGTTCCTGTGAGAGATATCAATAACCTGTCAACTGATAAATTATTCATCATGACATCACCAATACTTTATCAGTCGACAGATTTTTGATATCTTTCATAGGAACTGAGATAATTGAGCTCAAATTTGACGTTACCGGACAATAACTCCTTGAAGGTTTGGGTCGGCTTCTACGTTAGCAGAAAAACGGTATCTAGTTAGAGGAACAGACGAAACGCGATTTTGAAAATTGAAAATTTGTAAAATGGAAGCAAAACTCAATGTTTTCGTAGGTTTATTAGGCTCCGGAAAACTTGGTTTACAAAAAAATTTTGATTTAAAAAAAAAGGAATTTTTGAAAACGGATACCACCTCGATCTTTTCGTTTTGAGCTCAATTATCACGGTTCTTATAAGAGGTATTAAAAAATTGTCAACTGAGAAAATGTTTATCACAATATCACCGAAATTTTATCAGTTGACAAAATTTTGATATCTCTTACAGGAGTTGAGATAATCGAGCTCAAAGTTAAAGGATAGCGGTGGCATTCAGCCAAAAGAAAAATATACAGTAATTGTTAGAAAAGCGAAACCTTTAGGAAAATGAGTAGTATGTTATATATGTAGGTAGAAAACAATACAAACTTTAAAGGTTTTCAAAAATCTGGATTCTATGAAACCAAAATCCTTTAGAACCTACCGTAAACCTACCGTAACCGATAATAAACGTACAAAAGAATGACTTATCTCCATCTCAACGTTGAGCGAATTTATCTCATTTCCTGTAAAAGATATCAAAAAGTGGTCAACTGATAAAATATTTATCATAATATCACCAATATTTTATCAGTTGCGGACTTTTTGATATCTGTCACAGGGATCGAGATAAATTGGCTCAACGTTGAAAGTGAGGGGTTTCATTCTGGATCCGAGATTCCTACTGGTTCTAGATTCTACAGATTTTGGAATCTTTAAACTCTTCATGTTCTGAATTTTAGATCATATCCTAGATCCTATGAACCCTAGCTACTATGAGTACTAGGTCCTACAAATCCTAGAATCTATAAATTCTTGCGAACGGTAGGAACGGATATTGGCAAGATTCTAGATTCTCTTTATCTCTACACTTTCCCATGGTGATTACAAGCAACAATAACATAAAAACACTAATTGACAAACTACCAACACTGTCATCATCATCACCGTCAACATCATAACAGAATCTCATTCCAGGCCAATAAAATGATAAATTGGGTGGTATAACTGACACAAAACCGGGCGGTTTTTATATGTATGTCTACGTGTATGTTTGGATGTCCTCTTCTGGAAGAGAAGAAGAAGAAGAAGAAGGACAAACGATTCGAAGAGGAGGAAGAAGAAGAAGCTGATGAGAAAAAGAGAAAATAGGAAGAAGAAGAAGAGACTGGTTAGAAATGGACACCAAATTGAATGAAACCGAAATAGATAATTATCGAAAAAAGTTTCCTAGGACATCCGGACACGCAGAAATACCTGTTAATCGACTTAATTATCTGTTAATTAACGAAATTGCAAGCTTTAAAATTTTTTAATTGAAATTACTGCAAAAATCTTTTTCATTTCTAGCTAAAAATTCGGTTTTTATCAATTTTTGTGATTAGAAAAAAAACTATTTTTGAAATTCGCTCTAAAATTTGGAGTTTTGAGCGACAGAGCTCGCTTGCTTAAAAAACAAAGTTTTGCGCGGTTTTTCGAATTTGATTTTTTACAGTAATTCCTGAAATATTTAGCATATCCTAGCGAAACTGGCCTAAATTTATAACGTTACTTTTTTAGCTCTTTTTCTCCATTTCTTCTAATGTTTTCCGTTAAAAACTGTAAAATTCGCCAAAAATCTCACCTTCCTAAAATCCAATTTGAACTTCCCTCCAAAAAATTCTCTAACTGTGCAACAGAGCGCGCTTGCTGATTTTCAGCATTTTGCGGAGACCCCGGAAATTCCGGGGTCTCATTTTGCGCGGTTTTTCCAATTTGAAAAGTTCTTTTTTAGCCTAAAAATCTTAAAATGCACCAGAATCTTCAGTTTTTCAGCAATAAAAAACAGAAAAAAGTAATGAAAACCATCTAATTTCTCACTTCCCGGTGTCTGTTGACCTGTTTAGAGTGTGAAAAAAGCAAAGTTACACCCAAAAAAAACCTCGAAGAATGTTCGAAAAGACACGTGGAAACTAGGTGGTGTACTACTAAAACTAATACTATTAGTTCTTCTCCTTCTTCAGAAAAGAGTTTCTTGTTTTTTTTTTCTGTGTTGTTGGTTTGGCAGAATGACGACACAGCGAGGGAACAACAAGAGAATACTTGACACAGTTCTAGGTAGAACTGAATTGAGAATAATAATGAGAAATAGGTGGTTTTGCAAATTCTCTTTTCAAAAGATCTTTTCGAGAAAACTAAGTGAAGGAAATGAAATAGAGAAGAAGCATCTATGATATCCCGAAGGGGTGAAATGGAAAACGACCCAGTTTTGATAGTCTCTGTGTTCGGTGGAAGGGAGAGAGAGAAAAACTGGATCCAGCTAGGTTCAAGATGTATTGCCGATAAAGCCGAGAGAAGGTTATAAACTTTACAGAAAACAGAAAAGAAGCGAAATGTGAAAACTTGGGGAAATTTCTGAAAACAACAATCCAAGCTATTTCAAGGGGAAAAAGACAAAAAATTATGAACGACTTCTATTTAGATTGACTTGGGATAGTTGGTACCTCGAATGGCACATACATATCATTCGTCTGTTGAGTGACACGAATGAATGTGGCTCTCTTGGCGAGCTCCTTCAGCTGCTTGGATCCGGTGTAGGTGCAAGCCGAGCGGATGCCTCCGAGAATGTCCTGAACGGTTCCGTTGACATCTCCGCGGTATGGGATGGTGACAGTCTTTCCTTCAGATGCGCGGTACTCAGCGACGGATCCGTGATGTTTCTTCATGGCGGTGTCCGAGCTCATACCGTAGAAGAGCTTGTACTTCTTTCCGTTGCTCTCAATTAGGTCTCCTCCACTTTGGTCGTGTCCAGCGAATAGGCCACCGATCATGACGAAATCGGCTCCAGCTCCGAAGGCTTTGGCGACGTCTCCAGGGTTACTGCAACCTCCGTCGCTCATCACATGGCCGTTGAGTCCGTGAGCGGCATCAGCGCATTCCAGCACAGCGCTCAGCTGTGGATATCCAACTCCGGCCTTCTTGCGAGTGGTGCACACGGATCCCGGTCCGATTCCGACCTTGACGATGTCGGCTCCAGACAAGATGAGCTCTTCGACCATCTCACCTGTGACCACGTTCCCAGCCATAATCGTATGCTTTGGATAAGCCTCACGAACGCGGCGGATGAAGTCAACGAAGGATTCCGAGTAGCCGTTAGCAACATCGAGACAGATGTATTTGAGTTGTGGGAGAGCCTTGATGACCTCACTGAGTTTGTTCCAATCGTTCTCGGAGATTCCAGAAGAGATGGCGAGGTTATCGAAGGTTCCTGGAGCGGCAGAAGCGGCGAACGCTTTCCATTCATCGACCTGAAAGTGGCAATAGAGGACATGAACTAGTGAGAAAAAGACTTACCGAGTAGTGCTTGTGGATCGTGGTGAACATCTTGTGGTTGTTCAACGCGCTGGCCATCTCGAACGTTCCGACGGTGTCCATGTTGGAAGCGACGACGGGGACGCCGGTGTAGGTGGCTTTGGAGTTGCGGAAGATGTACTCGCGGTCCAGGTCCACATCGGCACGACTTTTGAGTGTCGAGCGCTTCGGACGTAGGAGCACGTCCTTGAAGTCGAGTTTTGGCTCGAACTCGATGCGAGGCATCTTTGTTCGGTCACCCTGAAATTGAGATGATTCGAATGCAAAGCGAGAAAGTGAGAAACGGATTAGAAGACGTAGAAACCGCAAGAGCCCTGCCACGTGGCAAAATGCGACAGGAAGAGCACATGTATTTGAAATTCGACTGCAAAGAGAGAAAAAGCGAAAAATCTTAGAAGTCGTAAAAATCAAGAAGCTTTTAGGTTTCCCCCAGAAAGAGTCCCGAAAAAGAGGCTCATAAGTCCTGCCACGTGGCAAAGCGCGAGCCCAAATTTCTGTAGAAAAGTCGTAAATAACGCCTGAACACACACACACCGCGAGGTGGTATGGACACCACTGTGGCACAGCTATCAATTTTGAAAAACGCATCAATCAAGCTGATAAGGAAATTTTTGGCGGCGGCGCCGAAATAGAGAAAACAAAGGAAACAAAAAGTTTGGCCGGTTTATCAGTTGTGTGTCTGTGTGCTCCTAATCGCTTTGCACTTTGCGCAACTTTGAATTCTGGAAATTTGAAAAATAGGTGCACAAAAAATTTGGGAACGGCGGAACATTGTAAAATAATTAATTTTTGAATTGGCCTATAAAATCTTTTCAAAATTAAGGCTAAACAGTGTGGGAAATGGAGAGACGCAGACAAACTACGATGCTCCGTTGTACGGGGCGCGCGTTGTTTAGCGCAGCTCGAATTTTTTGTGAATTTTGTTTTCGCTTAAAATCTAAAGAATTGTCAGGCGATTTTGGCAATTTTTCAGTTTTAGAATATGGAGGACGTTGACAATGGAGTCGTGGTGGATCTCACTGATGATGTAAGTTTTTAAAATTGCTGAAAATCGACAAAGAAAAATTAATCCGAAAAATTCGATTTTTAGCTAGAAATGGGCTTTCAAAACTAGTTCTTTAATAACCAATATGTTTCCAGAATGAGGTAGAAGCTGACACTGCACAAGACGACGTCGATTCTGAAAATCTCTACGGCGATGAAGACCCAGAAGCATCACAACAAAACGGAGAAGAGGAAGAAGAAGGCGCTCCTGAAAACCCAATCAATCTAGACGATGAAGATGAAGTAGAAGCCGTTGAAAACGCTGAAAATGGCGCTGAAAAAGACAATGAAGGAGAGGAAGAGGAGAATCCGTTTGCCGACGACGATGATTCAGATGAAGATGGCGGTGGTGTTCAGGTGACAATCAGAAAAATCGAGCCGACAGAGAAGCCAGCGGCGAGACAAGGAAAACTCGATCTAGATACCACTGCAATGATCAACGACAAGCCAATTTACGACTTGGATTTGGCAACTATGGAGGATCGCCCGTGGCGCAAACCGGGAGCTGATATCACCGATTATTTCAACTATGGATTCACTGAAGAGACGTGGAATTTGTACTGCGAACGGCAGAAAAAGCTGCGCGCTGAGTTTGCTGGGAATCAACAGCAAGCGAATACTGCATTGTTTTCGGCAATTAAAATTAGTAATCCACTAGCGAATCCGGTGATTAATCCATGTAAGCGAGCTATCAAATTCAGAATTTCTTATTTATTCTCATAAATTTAGCATCCAGCGTTGTCAAAGTGCTCACCGACAACGGAGGTCGCTTCAAGCAGCCACAACAGCCTCCAGCACCATCGCCAATTCAAAATGAGCAAGTCATACGTACAGTGATATCAGGAAATCCGCAATCCGCGCCTTCTCTGATGGATTTCACTCGTCCACCACCTGGAATGTCTCTACCACCACCGACAACAGGCTTCCCGGCACCGGTATCTACTGCTCCTACTGTATCAGGTACTATTCCGATCGCTTGAACTCTAGGCTCTAACCAAATAGAACCCATATTTACAGATGCTCCTCCAGGAGTCGATGGCGATCTGCCACCTGGCGTTGAGTCTGCCGCTCCACCTCCAAGCTTCGGAGGAGGTCTTGACCTGAATCTGGGGCTCCCACCAATGGGATTCAATCCAAATATGCCACCACCAGGGATGCCACCTATGGGAATGATGTCTACCAGCATGCCACCTCCCGGATTCTCAATGCCTCCACCAGGATTCCCATCTCAACATTCGAGAGCTGGTTTTGGTCCGGGACCAGTTGGAGGGCAGTCTTCACGTGGTGGTCTTGGAAGTTTCGGAGGAATGGAGGATGACGACGATGAGAGAAGGTTGAGAAGAAAGCGATCGAGGTCTAGAAGTCCCAGAAGAGATGACAGAAGGGACCGGGATTCTAGAAGACGTGGAGATGACCGTACGAGTAGAAGACACAGGAGTAGAAGCACATCTGGAGATCGTAGAAGACGTCGGGATGATAGAGACCGGGAGAAAAGAAGGGACAGAAGAGACGATGATGATCGTAAGAAGAGGAGTCGTAGGGAGGATGAGGATGATCGGAGATCGGAGAAAAAGAGAGACACCAGATCTCGAACCACCGAGGATGACGAGCCAACGGGTACCACTGCGAACGAGGAGTCGTCGCCGGTTGCTGATTAATTTTTCTTAAATTTCTTTTTAAAATTATTTTTTTCTGTCATTCCAGTAACCTATTTTTGTCCTGTTTTTTTCTTGAAAAACTAAATTTTACTCCCTTTTTGCCTTCACGATTCGGTGAGAACGCGATAAGGAACACCTTCTGGAGGTCATCGGCGGTGATTTATAAGGATTTATGACAGGACATCAAAGGTTATCTCCGATACATCGAGATGATCTAGCGATGATGTTGATGATAGTGTTGTGACACCTTTGGGAAGAAATTGATGGCCTAGGACATTTTGGCAATTCTAGTCGAATTTTCTGGGTTTACCACACTGCCGCTCTAAAAGTTCCAAACGCGCACATCTTCTTGTACGACTTTAGAACCTAATAGAATCAGTGGTTCTGTGGTCAAGTAGATAACGCTTTTTCCTTGCGTTCCACCGCGGGGCAAGCCGCAGGTTCAATTCCACCTGTGGTCAAAACTTTTTTTTTAGTTTTTCTATTACTCTGGGAGGTTTAGAAATAGGAAGTTGAAGAATTTTCATCCCGATTTCTACCTTATCTTTGTCTCTCTAACCCTCTCTACTTGTTCCCGCATAGTGGGCGGAGCCAATTCCTTTTCCTCCTCCTTCTCCTTTTCCTCAAGTCTTCTCCTTCTTCTCCTTTTTCTCATCACAAACATTCCCTTCTGGACCACAAAAATATGAAAAAGGCCAAAAAAGTTTCATGCAGTCCTCTTATCTTAATTCCCACCTGTTATCACTATTTACTTGTTGCATTATTGGCTGGCATTGTTTATTCAAATACTCTAAGAGCGGACTTTGTGTATGATGATAGGTAAGATTTTGAGTTTCTTAATAGTAAAAAAAATTATAAAAAGAAATATGGGTGGAGGGGAATCGAACTTGCGCTCATGCTCTCCAGTTGCGTGGAAGGCAAAAGCGTTGCCACTGAGCTACGGGCGCCACAGGCCACGTGCCACTTGTCGTACAAGAATAGGTGTCGTTCCAACAAAGTTTGGGACGAGCAAGCCGCGCCAATTAGGAAAAGCAACTTGACACATTAGCGGTAACCTGAGCTCGTTTTGTTTTATATTGTTTTTGAGTGTGCACGAAAAGGTAAGAAGAGCAAACACATTTTCTTCTTTCCTTATGGAAAAAGTGCTACTAGTACGTTTTTAATGTATTCTTCCTTTCCCCAGAATTCCTAATTATTTCGGAAACATTTTCTTCTTCGAGTAGTACCAGCACCGCCAACGAAATTATGATCAGTTGAGTGGAGATGTTGAAGAAAATGGATACAGGATTAGAGATGCACACACATACACTAAGCTAATCCACCTAATTAGAGAGAGGGAGAAGATGACTCCGTGTTTGTATGCAAACATTGTTGAATAATAAATAAATATGTCATTGGCAGAGGATTTAGATTAGTTTTCCACATTTTTTGTCACTTTTTTTTTGATTTGGAGAGTCCCACACTACTCCCCCTCTGCGGCTCAAAAAGTTCCCAACGCGCACACCTTCCTGTACGACTTTAACATTTGTTACATCTAGTGACGTTGTGGTCAAGTGGATAACGCTTCTGCCTTGCGCTCAACTGAAGTGGGTGTCGCAAGTTCAATTCCTCGTATGGTCGAAACGTTTTTTATAGTTTTTCTATTACTCTGGGAGGTCCATCGGCATAGGGAAGTGGAGGAAATTGAGTTGGGGAGCCTTCTTCCGATGAAGATGTTGCGAGTGGACGCGTCTACTTCTCATCACTTTCGCATTCTTCCCCCCAAATGTCAATCAGACGTGTCTATAGAGAGAGAGAGTACAACAACATAAATATTTGATGGGTATTCCAAAAAAAAAAACATAAACACATACATTTTCGAATCTAATATTCATGTGGTTTATGGGCCGGAACCTGAGCGTAGGGACCCGAGGAGCATGTATACACAGCAGCAATTTTCTCGTTTTTATTACACCAAAGTGGGACAACGACTGACTCGGACATGTAGTAGTAGAACAAGCTCAACAAAAGGCTGTCAACAAAGAGAGTGAAATAGGAATCCAAATACTGAGAAAGTATGGCCACTGTAGAAACCCTGGGAAAGCTGTCTAAGGATTCCGGAAATGAGGGGAGAGGTGTGAATATAGAAAAGTGGAAGAGGATTTCCTGGAAAAACATAGAAAAGGGGAGTACTATTAAAAAGAGAGGGTGGGGTGTCTTGGAGGCTTGGAGTTTGGGATAATTGGATCCTCAGACCTTAGAGAATGAACCCATAGAACCTTAGAACCTTAGATCCTTAGAATCTCAGAACCTTATAACCTTAGAACCTTAGAATCTCAGAACCTTAGAACCTTAGAATCTCAGAACCTTAGATCCTTAGAACCTTAGATCCTTAGAACCTTAGATCCATAGAATCTCAGAACCTTAGATCCTTAGATCCTTAGATCCTTAGATCCTTAGATCCTTAGATCCTTAGATCCTTAGATTCTTAGATTCTTAGATCCTTAGAGGACCTGTGGAACTTCGGATTCCCTCAGACCTGAAAGCTTTGACCATGGACCTTTGGACCCTTAGATTCTTGAATCCTCAAACCTTAAAACATAGAGCTTAAACCTCAGACGTTGGACCCCCCTCAAACCCCAAAAAACCTATACATTTTCAGACCAGCCATCCTCTCCAATGACGATGTCCTAGGCCGTTCTCCATGGTCATCACTTGTCACCACCAACGACTTCTGGGGCAATCCGATTCGTCTGGAGGGATCCCATAAAAGCTATCGTCCATTGATCACCGCCTCGTTTCGGCTTCAATTCGAATGGCATGGTTTGAAAAGTGAATTGTGAGTGTGGAGGATTATCCGTGAATTTAGAAGAGGGGAACAGGAATGGCTATGGGAAAAAGAAAATGGGAAAACAGCAGCAAATGGTTGTTAATTATCTGTATGAGTGTAATTGAATTACGGTAGTTAGAAAAATGGGTAAGTGTCATGAAACTGGTCAACTTTTGACCCAAATCTAGAAAATCAGGATTCTTAGAATCCCCAACATTGAGCCAATTTATCTCAGTTTCTGTCAAAGATATCAAAAAGTGGTCAACTGATAAAATGATGCTGATTTCAAAATAAACATTTTGTCAGTTGACTAATTTTTGATATCTTTCACAGGGTCCGAGATAAATTGGGTCAAAGTTAAGGTTGGCGACTGAGCTACGCGGTCGGCTGCCGACCTCTTAACTTTGAGCTTAATTATCTCGGCTCCTGTACAAGATATCAACAAGTGATCAACTGATAAAATAATTCTGATATTATGATAAGCATTTTGTTAGTTGATCACTTTTTGATGTTTTTTACAGAAACCTTGATAAAATGGGTACAAAGGTGATAGGTCCGCGCTTACATACACGGTCGGCTGCAGACCTCTGAACTAGGGCATTGTTTAAAGGAGGCCAGACATAAAAAAAGTCCCCCGAAATTTTTGCTGTCTCGCCTCCATTAAGGTGAAATCGGTCGAAGTTTTCTCAAATTAGATTACTGTAGATTAGAAAATTTGTACTCTTGGAGAGAAACTTCAAAATCCAATTTCAAATGTTTGAACACCACTGCGAAATTCCGACACTTTGATTTCGTAATTTACAACTTTTCCCCTCTCCTCTCCTCTTATCCAATTTTCTGACTCATTCTGGACTATTCGATTCTCGAGCTCTCGTAAAACATTTTCCCACACACACACACAAGTTGATTTCATAACGCGATTAAAGTGCTTTGTAGGAGGTTCCGACGGAGGCCAAATTGCTTTTCTCCCCTCCCCTCGTTTTCCTTATTTTTCCAATTTTCTTCTGGGAGTCAAGGAGTGTGGGCATTTGAA